CACAAAACATACCAGAAGCCTCACCGAACATCTCCTTGCTACCACGATCTCGCCCACAGGAAGCCGCGACCGCGTGGCAGCAGCGCAAATGGCCGCGGATCCGGTTCGTATCTCGAGGCGGAGTTCGCATGTCGAGGTAAATTTTGGGGGCTGGAGCTGGTCGTATCTCGAAAAATTCGTAAGGAGGGGCGTTCGTAACTAGAGGTACCACTATATATTAAATCTGATAAGCCCATCTAGTCTGTGTGAAGCACATAAGCTGTGTGAAACATCTTTCCACCTGTGTTTCCCAGTTACCAATCCTAGGTGTCCTGCCAGTTCTGAAGTTGAAGTAAAAACTATTGTAATTAACTTTCAGGGATAATTCAGACTTCCATGAATTTGGCTGGGTGAAAGCAATCAAAATTGCTAACTCTTGTATATGGAGATGTTGCAATCCTTGGGCTGCTCAGTTTAGAAAAATGGTGAGAAAAGCGGATGGATGGATGGATGGATGGATGGATAATATGTATGAAGTGGAAAACACTATCTGAAGTCATCTACGTTGAGTTCCCATGGCTGAGAATGGACTCAAACCTGAGTCTCCCCATGTCACCCATGCCCCATCCCAAAATAATCTGGCCCAGTAAGTGCTGAGTAGACTCTGAAGTCACAAGATAATGACTAACTGTTGGAAAAAGGAAAATGGGGAGATGTTTAAAGTAGGGAGGCTGGAACTGAATATGCTTCTTGAAAATCATATGGCTGGCTTTCTGGCATTCTCCTAGTAGTAGGGGAAAACTGTTAGACATCCTTTAGAAACCAGACTTTTCCTAGCTTTTTTTGAGTTATTTTAGCTCAGCTATGCATATAAGGCAGAATGTATTTTGTAGTGATTAAAATGATTGTGTTTAGATGGCTTGGTACCAGTTATGGGTTTCCCTGGAATCATAAATCGGAGTACTTTGTATGTTCTTATTAGAATCCAATCTGGTCCTTCCACTCACCCCCAGCTCCACAGTGTTTCTTCTCGGCTATATTTCTCCAGATTAAATTGTGTCCTCCCTTACCATTATAAGCATCATTGTCATGCTGTGCTATTGAAAGGTTATGTGGTTGCTAAAGCGAAGTTCCCTTTTTTCCCAGAGACATGCTACATAGGAACAATATTAAGAATATTTCACTGAGCTAATTGCTTATTATATGAAGGTGAGATATCAGTTGTAGTCCTAGCCTTTAAAAAAGAAGGCTACACTGAATTTTGCACTTAATTTACAACTCTCAGTTCCAAATAATATCTTGATCCCACCTCCAGCCTGATTTCTGTCCTAAATATCCATTAGGCTAACAATTCAAAGTTTCTGAAATGCTGAAGTTCTGGAGAAAAATCAGAAACGCATAGAGTAATTTGAACTTATTATGATATGCATTTATTCTTAATGTAAAACCTAATCAACACTTTTAATTTGACTGTTTGGTATATTCATGAAGCTTAAATATAATTGTCTTCTGTTTTATTTAAACACAATTCTGAATGTACACATTATTTCAAGAAGTAACTATTTTCTCTTAGGATTACTTAAATATGCTTTATTTTAGCTATTTGACGTAGAAATAAATGATAGCAATATTGTAATAAGCAAAACAAAAAATGTGTGTCTGTGCATATATAAAATAACTGAAAAAGACTGTGAATTGAGCCCCTCCATCTTTCCTAATTTTAAAGTAATTCCTTTACCCTGAACAGTTGGAAAGCAGAAACTGCTGGAAGAACTGAAAGTTTGCCCACCTAACTAAAGTGCATTTACTTTAGAAAGAAAAATAGAATTCAGCTGCTTAATAACTTAGGGTGACTCGGTAACATAGCAGGCTCAAATGGAGAGAAACAACAATTTATAGAGCTGTAACTGGGCTGATTTATCTGGAAATGTAAATATCTTATCTTTTGAGTGGTAGTTTCACAGGATGAAGAGAATGCTGTGAAGCTTTTGTGTGTGCTTGTTTTCTTTCATGGTTGCTCATATCTTCTTTCTGTGAATGGGTATTGCGTTTTATGGAAAAATGCATAATTTGGTGTTGAGCCTTAGGCCTAGCCTCATCCTTATTCTAATTTACTTTGAGGTAAAATATAGCCACTTATTCACCAGTTTGCCTTTTCTATTTCTATTCAGCAGGTTTCACTATGCTTAATAAAATAAAATATGTGGTTTTCTATTTCAGACTTCCTTATACCTGGTTTCCTGAGAAAATAGGTTCTCATGGCAGGTTTTTTTTTTTAATGGTTCTAGTCCAGAGAATCCTGTCAGTGCAAAAAGGTTGGACGTATCTACTAAATGATATTTTATTGTTTAAATCTTAAGTTTTAGTTAAGTAGTAGCATATAGTATTTTTTCTAATCGGAACCATTTGTAAGCACTTTTGAGGCTCGTTTTTGACTTGGAGAAATTAAAGTTTTGCTCAGATTGAAAGAAACATTTCTGTTTTTCTATATTGATTTATAGAAGTGTGCAAAACATTTTGAAGTCAGCATATTCCAAACCTGAAACATTCTGCTTGGAGGATATTGTAGGTTTTTCATTTTTACTGGAAGTATTCCAACATCCAACTTTATTTGAAGTTTCTGACTTTGAAATGGATCATTCACACTTCTTTGAAATGGATCATTCACTTTTAAAATGCTCTCTTATGAGTTCAGAATCTTCCAGTAAAGTTGAAATTGGACATTTCAATTTTAAAAGCTTTTGCATGTCTCTGTTGGCTTGGTTATATTTGGTTATGTAACTATCTAGTCACCATGGTATCTTTACAGAAACTAAAGGAGTCTGAAGTAGGAGAGAGGACTTGAACATTGTGGGTAAAAAAAAAAATGTAGGGTTTGAATAGTTAAATGAAAGCTAAACAACATTTTAAAATCTTAAAGTATTTGCTCTGTTTTTTTAAAAAAAATACTTCATACATTTGTCTTTCCACTCAGTTTTTGGAAAGCTATCCTTCTGAATGGGTCCAATTTGGTTTGTTGGGAGAAACCAGCAAAAGAAAGAGTGTGAAAATGGACTGGGTGTGAATGAATGGAGGCTGTAGAAAAAAATATTCCAAAAAAAAAATTGCTGTAACGCATTCCGGTGGAAGAAGTAATTGGACAGCGGCTTGGAATGTTGCTGACTGCTTCATTCTAAGTCCCTATCTCTTCTCCTGTCCCGTGATCCCGTATGGAACATATGCAGTCTGCCATGTGCTTCCCATATAGGCACAGAATCACATTCATGCAATACAAAGGCATTGTATGAATTGTATAAGTTTTCATCCAATATTGTGGTTAAAAGTTGACACTTACATTTTAATAGCCTTAAGAAGGTTATAGAAGATATAATAATGATGATTTATTGAGCACAATCTAGTTTTATGAAAAGGTATGTCTCAGAAGATTAATTTTTTGGTCGATACAGCAGCTCTGTATGTTGAGAAACGTGAATCTATGGTTTTGGCATTTTTGGATGCAGAAAAACTCTTTGCTGTGGGGCATATTTCATTTTTAGTTCACATGCTAAAGAAGCTTAGATTTTCTATAGAATGTGTTTCTTGGATAACAATGTAGTATTCTAATGCTTCTGCTTGAGTAATCACTAATAAGCTCATCACATCAGTAATTAAAGTAGAACATAGAAAATATCAAGGACCCCCTTTATCACCCTTAATTTGCGATTTGTTCTTGAACCTCTGGCATGCCTGACTAAAAAGATTGATGAAATCAAGGGAATATGTATAGCTCACTTTTAAGTTGCTGTTACATGCAGACCTCATTTTGGGTTTTTTTAATAATTGCAAAAGATCTTTACATGGCAGTTGGTGATATCACGAATAGCAATGGTGTCTTAGTTCTGCTGCTTTGTCTCACCTCCCTTTAAACTGAATTACACAGTTCTTAAACTTTTTTTGCCATCACACCTCCCTTTAGTGTAATCTTAATGTAC